CTCACACGACGAAACACAACGCAAGCGTTGCTTCACGTCGGTTTTCTGTGAGGCCGAGCCGGCCCATTCATGCCGAAGCATGGCTCTCCCACACTTTACTAACTACTAACTATGTGTATTATTTAAATAAATTATCAACAATCTATGATAGTCCATTACTCGAACCTCCCCTGCATAAAAGGGTTTAAAAGGCTACCATAGTACTGCTGTCCAATACTGCCCGCTCATTATCAAAATGTGTGGAGTAGTTTCTTATAACGCCTGCGAGCAGAGCGTGATAATGTGGATGTTAAAGTATTCTACTTTACCGTCACAGCATCAGTCCAAATGACAATGACCAAATTTGTATGGAGCGTGGTGCCTTTTCATTTTTTCGCGGCAGTTGATCGGATGTGGATAAACTGATGCAGAATAACATTACAAACAAAAAAATGTATGGGGTCTTATATCAAAAACACAGTCCGAACCGAGTTAAATCAGTTCAAAGATGTGAAAATAGTGCTATATAATTCCTGTGATTTTGTTGATGGTGACCGTACACAACGCATATTTCTTCATTTACTTGTCAGAAATATTTTGTAATAAATGTTTATAGGTGATATCAAGGAATATAATAAAGCTTATTGTGGACTTATTTACTTTTTTTTGTTTGTTATATTTGTTTTTTTTGTTATAAGGCCACGGAATCAGACAGAGTGAACCATTAACTGACCACTGCTGAAGAAAAAAAAACATTTCGTTTGATTGGCTAGCGTGTTCAATTTATATGTATACGGTTTATGGCCTATGACAGATTTCATGATCACTTTCCTCTCAGTCGAAAACCCGCAAAATACTTTACTGAGCCCTATCATGAAATGCTATGTTTGTCAGCTGCGGCGTCGGTAGCGGATTGAGTAGTAACAGTCGTCAAAACACGAAAAAATCATTTTTCTGTCTACTTATCCCGACTTACTTCCGATTTGTAACTAATCTAACTACAGTTAATACTTTAAACTACATCTAGCATAAGATTCTGTACAAAGACATCGTCCGTCATTCAGTCACAAAGAGATGCATTTCGAATGATCACATTATATGAAAAAATTATGCGCTCATCTGACGTATAGTCCATCACTTTACATAGTCGACGGTTTGCTTTCTTCAAAAGATTATGCTAACTATAAAGCAGATGAGTCTTCCACCAGGAGTCAACGGCAAAAAAATACTTTATTAGATGTTTGGACGACTACAACTACTCAACCCACCACTGGTACCACAGCTGACACTCATGAAGCTTCATAACACAACTCCTGTAAGCATCCTACAAGTTATCGACTGAGAGAAAATAGCTAATAAAAATTAGTGACTGGCAATATGGATATATTGTGGTGTGATTTGGTGTTTCTGTGCCCGGCGTACAGTGGCGCGCAATTTGAAGTTAGGAATTGTGACAAAAATATGAATAATTTGAATAAAAAACGAAAGTAAAATGTCTGATTCCAGCTCCTTTTAACGCTCATAACTCAGTCCGGACTGAGATTTCCATATATGAGCCCATAGACAATTTCGTTTGTAATGACATTCTAGATAATATTTTCCATAAATCATCGACTGCCGCTAGAAAAAAGAAAGGCACCAATTTTAGTCAATGCCCTTTAATCATTACATTTTCGACTTTCTGTCAATACAATAAAGTTACATAACATTTCATCACGCCTTTTCCTAATCCCCAAAAGCACGGCAACGCACTTGTAACGCCTCTAGTGATCCAGGTGTCCATGTGCGACACCGATTGCTTACCATCAGGTGATCCGTCCGCTCGTTTACCGGCCTATCCCATAAAAAATGTATACATTTATTATTAATTTCATTTCGACCACAATATTTGTAATTTTATTTTAATATTTTTAATACTTACCTACCTCTATGTATGTACCCTAGTCATTATTGTCATCAATGCGTTTTGTCTACTTCGGTTTTACTTATTGTTATAATTTTTGTTTGGTATTGGCCGTTGGCCATTATCTCGTCTGGTGGTAAGTGATAATGTGGCCTAATACTTACTATACTGTTTGGCGGCCGACCACGCCACCTATTCAATCACGATTCAAAAACTGTCATGTTGTATATCTACCTTACCGGAACACGGCCTCCTGGCAAAACTTTTCATACATTAGCAGTTCGCATACTAAATTGTTATAATAATAAGTATTTACCATATTGACACAAATAGGTAATGTTAAAACTTCTGTACTTAATGTTGTTGTCGATTATTTAAATTAAATGAATTAGTCGATTATTTCATTAATTATTGTTAATAAAGAAAATTAACAATAGGATAAGAATGTAGGTAATGTAAGATGTGTATTTCGATTTCTCTAATCGCAACACTGATCCGATTCAAACTTAATCACGCATTATATTAATTATTATTACTACATAACGAAGTAGTTATTGGAACCGCCTCATTTATATAGTGCACCTACCTAGGGATTCTGGGATTCACGAATTCGATTCTTTGGTTCCAGGTGTGTATTTAAACTTGTATGTTTGTAAATACACCCACGACACAGAAGAAAATACTATTATGGAGCAAGTTTAAAAAAAATAAGATAATATTCCTTTCTTTTTTCCCATTTTCCTATATTAATAAAACTGTTTTTTGCATAGAGGTTACTCGGAATGGTGGACCTTGCAATTTGCAATGCATTTCGATTGACCGACTAGTTTTCTCTTGTGTCGTGGGTACATGAACAACATACATATCACACCCAGAACTTGGGCGAAAATGAACCACACAGAGTTGTTTCGTTCGAAAATCGAACCTGCAACACGTTGCCCAGCTACTATGCAGCCAACCGTGAGATTATCATTTAATATTAATTTTTTTTGACGGGAGAAAGTTATTCATTGATTTCTCCCACCCCGGTGTGGCAAAAGGGAGTATCAGACTCTTACTGACTATTCCTTTGTTTCCTGTGTTCCTACTCCTACACTTCCAGCCAACATCCCGTTAATTCCTCCTCGGCTCCGTATCGACATCAGCCTTACTGGAGCCCCATCCGTGCTCTGATGATGGCTGTTTAAGACGCGCGCGGGGCGCGACGCACCTTAAATAATTAATATCTGTATGTTTATTTACCTACCTGATAGTACCTCACCGAAATGTATAAGTTAAGTCGATTTCTGTGGTCTGAAAAAGTTTAATATCCTAATAACTTTACAGACCTGTAAAGCCCTAAAAATAAATAATTTTCTGAGTTCTTACTTCCATGAACCTAATATCAAATATGATACCGCGCCATTCTATCGATTTGCTATTTGTCTGTATAGACGTGGAAGCCATGCTTCGGTACAAATGGACCGGCTCGGAGTGACACCACGTTCCCCAATCTCCGTCCGCCATGAGTGGCGCCAATTTTATACCATAGGGTTATCGGTCTTCTTGCCAGCCTATAAAAAAAATCTAGTAATTTCCAATGTTCATTTTTTTGTAAAACACTGTTGTATGGCAACTATGTGGTAAAGAGCATTACGGATCTGTTAATTAAAATTCCAATACAGTGTTTCAGGTTCAATTTCATCAAATTCAGCTAATAACATTGACATCGTGTAACAATCATTTCATTGTGTAAATTCGTGTAACAGATGCTTATCAAAAGTCAACGTCAAATTGTCATTCTGATCAATGACACTGACATATTGACATTTACGTTTCGTTTTTCTTTTCCTTTCTCCACAGACCTACTATAATATGGACCAGAAATACCTACAAAATACGCGTGCATACCTACTAGAAACCGCGGCCTAAAAATGGCTGCCATTGCTAGGGAAGTACTGTAGTCAAAACCAAAAAGTATCGATATCGATAGCAGAGTTTTATACATTAAAAATCTTCTGGTCCTTTGAATTTTTTTTTAAAGGTACAAATCATCGAATGTCTTCAAGCCACTTCTGACGCAGCACTTCATTTTTAGGGAATTTGTGGAAATAAAAAAAAACATAAAAATTATTTCAGTTTTGTACATTTAGTGGTACAAATCATAGACTGAACTAAATGAAAGTACCTACTGTATGAAGAATTGATATTATTATGTTATGGTACTATCCCTATTTTTATTTTATTCTGTAAGATTTATTTTCAAAATGGTCTCTTCAGACCCTTTATTTTGATACTCTACTCTACTGGACTCCATAACATACAAACTAAAAATATGTTAGTTTCTTATCGATATGTTATTAAATAAAATACATCACTATTTGTAAATCGTCATTTGTATTGTAAACAAAACTTAAACAAATTTAGCAAATGAAGTTAGTTATCATAAACAAATTTAATGTACATTTGGGGGCTTTTATTCTATATATAAAACAAGGCTAGATAAACAAGAAAACTAATAGTATGATAAAGTTTTTTCTTAAAATACGGCTACTAACCTGTGCATAGTCAAATGAGGTTGATTGGGGTTTTTCCTTGCCCCACACTGAATTATTGAACAAGTAGACATATTAAATATGCACCACTAGACACTCACAGCACAAAACAAATAAGTTGGGAGCGTTTTTATTGTTAAAAATCGCAATACAAATCTAATGTTTTTGTTTGCTTGACACCTGATGTACTACAAAACTATGCGGCCTAAAGATGGCGGCTGGCACGCGAGGTAGGTACCTTGTCAGAAATGTAGAAATGTTGCCAGGCAGAGAATAAACAAACAACATGACGTCTCTTTCTTCAAATGAGGAAACTCATTGATTAAAAAGAGACAAAGTGTGGTTTCATATTTCTATATCGATTTGATATATATTTGTATAAGCAAATAAGCTATAGATCATTACTTCTGGTCCATATTATAGTAGGTCTGTGCCTTTCTCGATCGTTTTGTTGTGAACTTTTTGAAATTTCGTCTGTGATTTTTAGCAGTCATTGTTTGTCATTCAATGTTACTGGGTGTCGAGCTTAGCAGTCCTTCGTAAACTTATTTTTTTCTCCGATTTTACTTAATCTTCGTACCAAAATGAAACCTAAATCGGGCTTAACGAGATTTCATAACTGTTTTATTTTACGTGATAGTAAAATAATTAAAGAGGACTTATGGATAAGAGACGGCAAAATCGAAAATCCTGAACAGGTATTTTATGTAGAACAACTACAGGCCGATGTAACTGTAAACTGCGAAGGACTGCTCATTGCTCCAGGGTTCATTGACATTCAGATAAACGGTGAGTACAATATATGTAAACAAAAAGTGTCCTCCAATAGAATAATAACATAATAATGACGAAACAACATTTAGGTCATAATTGAAATTGTTTATCACCGTGTTTTATTGTTATTTCAGCATTTTAATATTACTTTATAATAAGATTCAGTCACTTAAACTTATTCTATTAAGATTCTTAACCAACTCTTATCAAGTAAGTACTTACTTAGAATAATTTCCAGGTGGTTGGGGTGTGGACTTCTCCTATGATTCAGAAAATGTTAAAGAAGGTGTAAGGAAAGTATCAAAAGAACTTTTGACTCATGGAGTTACATCATTTTGTCCTACAATGGTGACATCAGATTTGGAAAAATACCGTAAAATCCTGCCTTTGATAAAGAAGTCTGATGGTGGTGAGCATGGAGCCACTGTTTTGGGAGTGCATTTAGAGGGTCCATTTATCAATATGGCTAAAAAAGGTGCCCATATGGAGGAGTACATCAAAACACCTGAAGAGGTTTGTGTTTCAACTTTCTTACTGCATTTTTAAGCAATTATTTTGTTATTATCTGTGGTACCTATGTCCTAATATTTCTTTTTATTTGTAATATGAATTCTTTGATTATCTTCTGTAGGCATGAAAGTCAACAGTAAAAACATCATGCAACATTTATTTATTTGTTATCATTTGTGTGTAGGCAAACTGTATAGTACTTATAGACATTATCTGCCAGTATTTATCATTGACCTACTTTTTGTATGTTGTAAATAAATAAATAGTACATACAATATTGTGCAAATGAACCTTTTCCATGTTGATGAACTTTTATCAATTGATTCACAGAGAAAAAAAAATACATGAGGACATTTCTTAGTAAACACCTTGTGTCCTTATAGAAATCATATGTATGTATGTATTGTAACTACAATAGATAAGAAGTACATACACCACATGACAACACTAACACTGTTCCATAAATACCTACATAGTTTTTTTTATCATTATTATTTACAGGGTTTAAAGACTGTGGAAGAAGTCTATGGATCTTTAGATAATGTTGTTATTGTAACTTTGGCCCCAGAGTTGCCAGGTGCTCATGAAGCAATCAAAGACCTTACTCAGATGGGTATCAAAGTAGCGCTGGGGCATTCCACTGCCAGCTTAGCCGAGGGAGAAAAGGCTGTTGAATGTGGTGCTAATCTGATCACACACTTGTTCAATGCTATGCTTCCTGTAAGTATGCTAATTGTGTTACATCAATAGTATTAGAATACAGTAACTAATAAAAAATTTTAACACAAATACTTCCTATTTTGATGTGCTAACAGTTTTAAAGGTTTATATAACTATAATGATTGTCAATAGATTCCGTATTAAGCCTATTATACTAAGCCTCAATATCACACCTTTGAAATCTACAGTAGGTGCTGTACGCAGAATTGCATGTAACCCGCTTTTCATAAATTATGTAATGCATCCCATGTGATTGGGATTGAGCTTATTGCCATATACTGTTCACAATTCCAGATTAAATTCTACTATTTTCTGAAAAAAAAATCATTCCGACTTGGAATTCGAACCCAAGCTCCTCAAGCTTGGTGGTTACTCATGCAACCATTGTACCAAGTTTTACTATCACAAAATAAACTTTAAAATAATAGCATATTTGCCGACTTGTAGATGATAATACTATACGCCTTTTTATTCTGTAGTAAAAATGACTTTACTATGTCTTATTCTATTATTTATTTAGTTCCATCACCGCGATCCTGGACTGGTTGGTTTGCTAGCTTCTACAACGAAACACCAGGTTTTCTATGGCATTATATCAGATGGGATCCACACTCATCCAGCTGCTTTACGAATTGCAAGCAGAACTAATCCTGAAGGCAAGTTCAAGTTAATTAACTATTGCTATGAGAAGATTTTCTATTTGAAAACATGTATACCAGCCAGGACGCTTAAGTAGACAGACCGACATGGCAGATATTAGAAATAATAGTATAGGATTCATTTTCACATAAGGCTTTCGTACAGCAATGTTATGCATTGATGATGATCATAATGATGCAAGACTAAATTATACATTTAAATGTAACGTTCCATCACTCATGTTCAATTTCTTACTCAGGCTTAGTGCTCGTTAGTGACGCGGTGGCTGCTCAGGGTCTCGCCGACGGAAACTACCGCATTGGGCCACAGCTCGTCACAGTGGAGGGTGGACGTGCTTACGTGGCTGGAACTAAAGTACTCTGTGGCAGCACCACTGGCCTAGACGACTGTGTCGCCACATTGAAGCGATCTTTGGGTAAGTTTGTAATGTAATTAGTCTTAGGTATTATCAGTGAAACAACGTGCTAACTACTACCCATTAACAAATTAGGAAAACTCTTCACATACAAAACTTAAATAGGTTTTGCTTGTTTTTAAATTCTAGTGAAAAACAACTCTTTTACGATAAACGATACTAATTTGACTCAGGTTTACTTATTATGTTGCAAAATCCTTTTGAAATTAATATTTTTAGTAATATTTTATGTTACTTTACAGATTGCTCCTTGGAATATGCATTGGAAGCAGCATCCCTCCACCCAGCTAGAGCTTTAGGCATCGATGACAGGAAAGGAAAACTTAATTTCGGGTTTGATGCAGACTTCGTTATGCTTGACCCAGAAAAAATCAAAATCAAGTCAACTTGGATTGCAGGAGAATGTGTTTATAAATGTGATAAAAACTGATTATGTGATAATAGTTTTAAGGGTTTGACCAGTTAATTTAATTTTTATTGATTACACTTTATTATATTATACACAAATAAATGTTACCTATTATAAATAAATTGTAACATCTTTATCAAACAAGATTTTAATTTTCTACCTCTTGTTTTGTAACCATGGAACGAAAGCGAAGTTACGACAATAATGAGACAGCTTTTATGGTCCAACACACCTCCAAAGCTTTGTAACCGAACTCTACAAAGAACATAGTATGTTAAATTCTCATATAATTAAAACTAGGCTCAACCGCAATAATATGTAAAAAAAATGAGGTTTCGTGCCCAATGGGTGGTGGGATTGTTCCCACCGGAATGCCCGCTATACGCTAAGTAATAATTAAAATAAATAATAGGACTGTACGCCTCAAACACCATCTAGCAAGCGCAAGAAATTAGTAAACTCTGCAATTACTAGCATCTTTGTAGTTACGACAAATTCATGAATGCGATTGCAGCAAGCATGCGAGGGAGGGATAATCGGCAGATTCTACCAACCCAAAAAATAGGTGTGTCAGTAGTCCAAGATATTTAGATAGAACAAGTGTTCCCCAGCATACAGATTTTAGCAGAACGAGTGATTGTTTAGCAATGAAATACAGTGATCGTGATATATTTCTATTAAAAATGTTTTTAATATAAGGTAAATAAGGAGTGTACATTCAACTATTTACTAAGATTCTCACTTTTTGCGTACCTAAATAATTTTAATTGAAGCTTAATCGAATGCATTCTGCCACTTGTTTGCTGGTGCAGTTTGTGTAAATAAAATCTGGGAGCATTTTAGACTATTGTGAGCAAACTGATTTACAGGGCAGACATTTAAAAACAGTATTTATTACTAAATACTCAGAAAGACCTAACGAAAAGATAGAACTTAATACGATATTAGATCCTCACATTATGTACTTAAAAATATGTTAGTCTCAGGCGAATATAATTTTGATAATAAAGTCGTATTTAGTGGCATGGAAAATCTTTATTGAAGTAAATATATTTATAAAGTCAGTACAATTTAAGTTCAATAGTTTCCAAAAATATTAAAGTGCAGGTTGCTGATCACCTGGCAATGTTAAATATGATTATTTCTTAATTAAAATACAAGCTAATATTGAGAAAACTGTAATATGTGAATAATAACATGTATATACCTAAATAAAATCATGACAAAAATATATTTTAGGCAGGCTCTGAATTACACTGCTCTGCTGTTGTTATCCTGGCCACAGTTCACGTTAATAAACTTATAATTATTAATAAACCGCCAACGTCACATGACAATTTGCATTCGCCATCAAAAAAAAGTAAGAAAGAAAAAGAACAAATAATTAAGAAAGTGCGAAATGGCAATCATCCAAATTCTCAAGTCACTTCAGCGGTAAAAGAATTTGGTCAAAGTAAGATGTGCAACCAGTTGAACAATTAAACGCTACTCCTGTCCACTGTAAACATCTATATTCAGTTACATTGAATAATATAGATTTAAATATCGAATACACTCAATTCCTCCACATCTTCGTTGGTGTGGACAGAGAACCAGTTGGGCATCTTAATTTTACAATAAAATAATTAAACATCAAGTTACAAACCACGCAATGTATATTCATATTGTATACAATAATCTAGGTGTATGTATATAATGTAAATACATTTTCATGAAAAACAAAAATAATATCATGGAATATTCAAAGAGCCAAAATATTTGAGATTAACTCTACCTTGATACCATTAACTTCTAAGATCTAGGCACAATGCAGCAGAGACTCCTGTATGGTTTATATAACAATTTTCGTTGACTGTGGGGCTAAATACATAGTACATAACAGTCAACACCATCACACAAGGTTTACTGAAGACATTATATAAACTGCGCAACCTTCTATGTAACATATTTGAGTAAGATATGTCGGATAAAACTGGACCTATGCGGACAAAGCTTCTGTATGTGTGCTATTTTTATATAAAAGAGCAGTAAAGTATAATGGTTTCAGAGCCGGTGGCAATCCTATGTGCTGATGCTGCTGGCGCCCCTTGCAGCTTGCACATTGCTGCAAGCCGCCGTGAAGGCAAACAACTACATCTAATAAAACTTCAACATTTAATTTCTTTCAAATGTTTACGGAGGGTATTGTCTGTTAGATATAATTTCGTGTTTTGGAGTCCACATTCCATACTAAACACACAGTGGACTACAACTAGGTTTAAAATACTTTAACAGAATTAAATTATTGAGCAAATATTCTTAAGAGAATATTAGTAGAGATTTGCTCGGCTGCACCAACTCTACAGAATAATTCATGTTACTCCTAGTATCAAATACCAATGCATACTCCACAAATGTCATTTCCGCTAACGAGAATAAAATAATTAAAATATAAGGAATTAATGAAATCTTTGGATCAAAATTAAAATATGCATTTGGAACTTGCACCTTTCACACTAACTATTACAATAAATTTCACATTTCAACATAAATGACAAGAACATAAGACAGTGTAACTTAGAATATACTTAAATCTAGCTTGAAAACAAATAAAATAGCCATTTTAACAACATCTAAACCAATGAGGAGAATAAAACCACGGGAGTTGCAGACAATTTCTTTGTAAACTAAATTGATTCGGTATGATATGTTTTGTTGTTTACTGAATAATTTGTGAGACGAAGAAATATCTGAATGGCCGCTTAAGAGAAAAAAATTATGCTTATAGTTATAGAATCAAAAAATAAGATCACTACAATACGTAAATACCAAGATTGTATATTAAAATATTTGTACTTTTACTGACTAAAGGAAAACATTGGCAACTGCTAATAATCCTACAATTGTAAAAAAAAAATAATTTGTATAATGTAGACTGAAAACGGTCATCTCAAATTCGTTCACTCTAAGATGTGGAATGCAATTAGAATTCTTTAACAATATTAAAAGGTATAATAATATATTAAATTTTTATAATCAGCTCAACAATGTATATAATCTATAATAATTTAAAAGCCTAGATCCAAACTGTGATATTTATTGCACAAGCACACATGTGGCTTAAAATTCCAATGGGAATAGAGCTCACAACCTTATTATTATTTATGTTGTTTTAGAATAGTGGAGATTATATCGGTTAATTAAGTGGGTGAAGGTAAAAATAAAATATATCTTTTGAGCATGCCGTCTTTCAAGTATTAATTGGAATCATTTCGAAATTAAATAATTAGGTATAATATATAAATAATCTTAATCCCACCCACGGTTCAAAGTTGAACAAAATTGAATAGTAACGCCACAACACTCCACCCAGACCGTCGAGCTGTGCTTGGTGCCACTAATAGGCAATACGCCCACCTCCAATAGGGAGGGTAACATTAGAGCTCACCTTGTGCGCTGCGAACCCTACACTATCACATTACCTGGCACCAAGTATGCAAATGTCCTTGACACATTCGTCTCAACAACGAGTGGCGTCCCACATAAAGAGCTTAATATAATACAAGGAAATCTGCAATTTTCAGTGCCATATAAAGTGATACTACACAACTACTGAAGTAATTTATTGCTGGATACATAAGGGAATATAGATTCAAGAGAAATATCTTTACCAAAAATTGCTTTAAAGTGTATATAGGTAACTTTTAAGATTCCCGAGAAAGGCTACTGTAATGTACTCTAATGATACAATTATTATCAAGTAATGTCAATGGACAATAGATACCATTTGACTGCCATTCATCCATGACATAGTGCTTACTCACTACGGCAAATTATACAGCCAAGCAGACGCGACGAATAACCGTCGCGGCCCGCGCCAACCACTAATAAACATCTCTAAACAACACCACCATATAGGCAAACTTGTGATACTGTATGTGTGTATATCAATTGAAAAATACTAGTACCTACTAAACATTTCTACGCTGATCCCTACATAAAATACATGGCAAGAAAAGAGGAAAGTGTCAATATCACCAAAATTAACATTAATCGAGGGGTTGTTGACAGGTTAATACTTTTGAAATAGAAACATAGTAGTACAATAACCACTAATAAAAAATAATATTGTTTTAATGAAATACGACTTCGAATTTTAATATCGGAATCCACACATAAAATAGTATAATTTGTAAAATTATCCAAAACTTATCACACCACTTTTTAATAATTTTATGCAACCCTAAAGCAATATTATTATTAGCGTCAAACGCTCCCTTTGGGGCAATAATAAGTTCTATTTCGGTTAATTTTACTTCACTAACACACAATAATTTTGATCAATGACAACGAATTAAAATTGAACATTATAATATTAAACCCTGAATATTAATTAATAAAACAAAAAATTGGCAACAACTAATAACTATTTTTTACAAATATTATACAATAAAATAATTACTATGTGCATGCACAAATATCGTAAGAAAATAATTTGGCAGTAAAAATTCGTAAATCTAAAGGCCTAAACACACTGGCCAAAAATACTATTTATATAATATAGGCCCGGAACATATAGTTAAACAAAACAATAAAACGACAAAATCAGAGTATTAATCACACCTGCTCTTCCGCGAGGGGTATGTAGACTCATTTAAACTAGTTAAAATAAAGAAAATAAAATTCCCTAATACTATTGGGACAAAAATCCTGAAACAAATAACTTAAAAACAATATGAAAAATAAACCCAAAAGTTACTCACTAATCAATAGAGGATTCAGACTCAAATGTCAAAATTCAACTTATCACTGAAGATTGACGTTGCTACATCGCCCCACGTCTCAATCTTTGCTCGTGTCTTTCAAAATATTGAGTCAAGTAAGTCTTAAAATGTTGGTTCATTATGTCTCTCTATTATTGCTCATATCACATCTAATTTTGCGTATCGAATATTGTAAAACTGTTCCAATACACAACAAATACATAAAATAAATACCTATTTCTAATTAAGTACACATTTATACATGTTACTCTTCAATTATGATTTTAACTTTCAGTTTAAATTATATGGCTCAGCAATACGAAGAGAGTGCCTGACTATCAACTAATTAATATTTAAAACTTTAATTACAATTTAGTAACATGAAAGTGTTTTTATTATTTTGTTTTTTCAATGAGATAGATGCATGACTTTCTGGAAATTGAGGAATTAAAATATTTTAAAACGTAAGCTAATAAAACCGAAAAATTAGAGAGCATTTAAAAACTGACATTAACAATATTGGTAAAATATCACACTTAATTTTAGGTGGTCTGGTTAAGTACTATTTCCAAAGTTATTTTTATGTAAAACAAAATAATGGTCATGTACAACACAATTTATCCGGTTATAGACTTTGTTTAATAATGGTGACATAATAAACTTCATATTTCCTATGATAACTACTGTACCAGTAGATAACGACAATTATTGCATGACTGGTTATTTAAATTGGCTATTCATATAGAACAAAAACAACTGCTTTCTTTAAGAATGATAAAATTCGTTCAAATAGTCTAAATATATTTGGAAGACCATGGATCCCTGGAATTAGTTATGGTATAATGTAAAATTGTATCTGACCATTACTTATGTATTACAAACTTGATACCACATTATTAATATAATAGGGATTTTATATGACGTTAAATTGTCTTCCCACTTCCTAAATACTATTTTTAGGAAATCTCTAACAAGGGACCGTAATATATGATGTAAATATCTAAATATGGTATCGCTTCAATAAACCGCATTTGTACCTACTATCTAAAACTATGAATTCTCAATTTTGAATATAAATGTGGATAGTTATAAAAATATATAATTTGGCGAACTGTATACTCATCAAACATATAAGTAGAATCATTTATAATGGCAAATTCATGTACATAACAAGTAATAAATGTTTCTATCATGCTTTCTTTGCCTAGCCACAACATAATACTTGAATTAGTAAATAGTTATTGCAATAAATGTATATGTACGAGTGACTATTTCAACAACAATATCAAGTGCACCAATAAAATATGCTTGCATTACTATTTTAAAGGCTCACTATATACAGGAAAATGCCAGACCTCTACATTAAATTTTAACTATCCAATTACATGTATGTGTTGTACAAAAATTATTGCAATGGTTACTTATAGCGGTTTTCTAATAATACAGCATGCATTACAATGTTTCATTATTAAGATATTACTTATATTAAAAACCAATTCTCAACAATGTATACTGTAATGCCTACTCATGAAAAACTTTCAAATATGTAATAGGCTCTCAAAACAAGAGTACACGAAAAACATTTTGTATAGACACAAGAATTCTGTAAATGGTAAATATACTTTTAACGGACAATATATAATATTGTATACGAGATTAACCTAAACTAGATGGCACGTTATTATGGTGTCGCCTCCTTTGGTCATGACGAGACTAATTTTTATACTTTTATAAACTCAATTGTGCGTTTATATATGTAATTTGTTCTTATCCTGAAAATTACCGATATTCATGAAAATTAATAGTATAAAAAACAAAACGTACGTATATTGGGCTCTAACATTCGAACAAATCAACATTTTATTTGAGGCGACACTCCCACGCAGTCCCCTAATTGACATGTTTAAACTTCACTCGAACTAGGAACCATACCAGCTGCTAAAATTTAGAAAACAAAATAAAAGTCCTGTCGATGGGAATTGTTTAGTTAGATTTGGTTATGGTTTTTCCTTGGCAGGATGTAAGTTTCAGTTCCGGATATAATTTTTGAGTGGAGTCGACTATAACAATTCGAAGCTTATATTTTATACATAAAAATAATAATTGTCCGTATCTACCCGCTTCATTTGTAATATATATAGCCAGATATTAAATAAATCCGAAACTTTTCGATCCTCCATGACCAAATATAACAATTTATAATTATTGGACTATAACGAAAATAATAGAAGTTGAATATTATATACTAACCTTTGGATTTTCCATAACTAGAACTAAATGCAATTATAAAATAATGACAGATGAACAAAAACCCAAACAATACGCAAGTATTCAGTACTTTGGAAATAATAATGACTTAAGTCTATCCATTGCAGTGAATAAAAATATAGTGTCTAAATCTAGAATGCAATAAAACAAAAAATCACGAAGCATACTGAAAATAGGATCACTATAGTTCACTGCTCATGGATAGAGAGTAAATATCAGACTAAAATGAAATTTAACACAAAATAACGAAATAAGTAGTCAAATACTGGTTTAGCAAAAAATGTTAAGCTTTGTAAAAACAGCAATTAATATAAAATATAGGGAATAAATGTGAGATCTTGTAGTATGCAGACTTACAGCCATCGAGTTACTCCTCAGACAATATAAAGGGTGTTGAGGACTAGAACATGGTGATTATTTTTAGCCAGGGTGACAATGTATCCTTCAGATGTGATCTTCAATCCACAGCAGCGAGACACCTACAAGTAAGAAAAAAATATTACCCGACCTCTTCCCTAAAAGCAACATGCAATTAACACACTTTTCTCCATGTTACACGTATATTTACGCTTGCCACGTCTAGGGCAACAAGGCACTAAAAATAAATAGCTACTACAAAAATAAATATAAATATCAATTATGAAATTATGTCAAGATGGTATCAAATCATTGCTATTTCAATTCGGATATAAATATCGATTTTATTTTAAATACGCGCGTGTGGCTTAATTTATTGTTTTATTTATTTACATATGCTACTAGAGTTTATTTTTATACTAAACAAAATAAACTATATTTACTACTAAACTCACCTTGACGTAGGGACACTCAAATTCAGTGACGAGGACGCCATCACGTGAGAAAACTGCAACGTGAAACTTGTTGCCGTGGGAATCACCAATGAGAACGTCACCCGCATCAGACACGTCAATGCCGTTAGGGAAGTTTGTGACGTTCTCACATCCAATGCGACGCAAGAAATGCCCTTTGATGTCGAAAACAACCACGCAGTGCCCTTTGAAATCGCAGACATAAAATTCTTTGCCTAAAACACATCAAAAAATTGTTACAATAACTCTTCATTATTAAACTGTTTGAACAATTCTGTTATTTTACTTACCACTTATAGCAATGTCAGATGGCTCTCTCATACACTCGCTGCAATCGAACCATCTAATGAGCTCGCCTTCTTCAGACAATATAAATACAGTAGGTGTCACACTGTCTACTGCCACAATGAGACCTTCGGCAGTTACTGCTAATCCGGCAACAATATCAATGAATCGCACCTATAAACAGCAAAATAATTAATGTTAGCACCTCAACATTGTGCTAAGAAAGAGAACATCATAATATTTTTAAAACTTACAGCAATTTCTTCAAGAAGTGTCCATTTTTAGTAAATATTTGCATGCGAGATCTTTCATTGCCGCGATCGCAGACGACAAACTTGCCAGTAGCTCGGACGACAGCTACCTTGCGCGGGTACCACAACTGGCCTTCCTCTTTTCCAGCAATGCCAAAGTTAAATTTGTAGGTTCCAGATTTATCAAACACCTATAAAAAATGTAGGTATGTTTTAGCCATCGTGAAAATATTATTAAAATAACTTGTTCAATGTGATGTTAAGGTGGCAATAAGAAAATTAATTTAAGATTTTATAAATTTACCGTGATGCGATGGTTATTTGTATCGGCAACAATAATATCTTCGTCGTTTCCAAGGCAGAATCCATGAGGAGAGTTGAACTGGCCTTTGCCACTTCCCAGTTGACCAAACTTGAATCTTATATGCATGGGTGTAGCTTTTGTAGCACGCACAAGTGGAGCTGGTGGAGGTACCAGAGCGGCCTCTTCCGCAGCCGTCAGCAAAGGTCTTCCTGGAGACACACCGCGAGGACCCACATCGCCAATACCTCCAACGCCTCCAAAGCCATTCACTTCTGAAAAATTAACACCAAAAATAAATATAGAATTCCTGAAACTAAATGTTAACAAATTTTAAACCCAATCAAAACTTACCATTCAGGCCCAATTTTGCAAGGGCTTGCAGGTTGTTGTAAGCTTGAGGTGAATTCAGGTCACCGGCAAGTAATTCAGCGAGAGTAAAAGTGGGAGCTGGAGACGCGTGAGGAGGAGGAGACACGTCTTTCTCGGCAATACTAGCCAGCTGCTGCAGATTATACTCGACCATGGATGGAAGTGCAGGCACGCCACCGCCGACGCCACTAGTAATGTTAACTCCACCAGTTATGACGCTTGTGTTAGCAACACCTACTCCAGTGACAGCTCCTACACCAGGTACTCCAATAGTAGGCACGCCTGACACTCCTACCATGCTTCCAACTCCAGTTACTCCAGTGACTCGACGGACGCCTCCGATTGGATAGTCGTCAAAAACAGGAGCATTAGTTACTGACACAGCAGGCGAGTGAGAATTCGATGTCACCGACACAATAGCAGAGGATTCGCTAGCACGTTTTCTTTCTTCTGCTCGAGTTGCCTCTGTGCGGAATGTTCCAAAAGTCTCTTCAGATATGGCATCAAACTTGTCTATTTTAGTGACAAATTCCAATGAGTAATCAACATCAAATTCAGGTGCTCCTTCCAACAAACGAGCAAACTGCGAGGCAACCGTCTTTTTCAACATCACAATTTCAGTACCATCACCGCGGCGAAGTAATCTAGCCGCAAATTTGCAAGCACAGTCTATGCGCTGGACAGTTTTATCGACGCGATCAAAGAGATCCATGACCTTGAGTTCTCTTTCTTTATGCAAACGCTCAAGTTCTTCAAGAGCCTTTTCACGGCATCTCTCTAATGCAGCTTTATAAGCATGAAAGGCTTCGTTGATTACGCCTTCAGCCTCATCTCGCTGGCGTTGCAAATCTCCAAGCGCATCATCAAGTTTAGCTGAAGCACTGCCAGCTGTAGCAGCACGAGCATTAGCTTCCACAATGAAATTTCTCAATTCAGCACGTAGATTCGGCTCGACATCAACAATTCTCTCACAACGATGTTCGCCGACTTTGTGATCAACCGTTAGACATTCAGTGCAAGCTCCGACCTCACACTCACAACAGTAAAATTTGAGACTCTCCCCAGCATGACGAGCGCAAAAAATTGGCTTATGCACAGCAGCTTTCTCCTTAGAGGACCTTAGAGCATCAAATGGAACTACTCTGTGGTTTTCAAAGCATCTCATAAATTCGTGAGCCGAATTGCAGTTGGAACACAGAAAATGAGAGCAATCAGTGCATCTTGCAACAGCAGGTTCCTTGCTCTTGCAACAAGTGCAAACAACAGATTGATCCATGGCAGAAACATCCAAAATGTTGGTAAGCACATAGTCGGAAGGAAGGGATGCAGCCCCACCTCCAGGTATCTGATGACAAAGTACACACAATTTAGATGTGTGCCTACAAGATTATGTAAAAGGAAAATTAAGTTATGTAATATTGATCTACCTTGGTTTCTTGTTTGCATATTGGGCATTCCACAGCCAAATCAAATTTTAGAGAATCGCCAGCTTCATTAACCATCAACTTGTCAATGCAAGCTTCACAAAATACATGAAGGCAAGACAAAACACGAGGACTGCATAACTTATTGCTGAAAATGAAAGGATTGTTTGTGTCCATTATGACAATGATTTTAGTTATTTTTTTAACAGTGCTCATTATTAAATATTGCAAATATTAGTGAGTTGTACAATACTTACTCGCAAATCTTACAATTTTGCTCTTGTTTTCCATTATCAGTTGACTCCAAAGAACCCTCATCTCCCAGACTAACTAAACCACCCCCATAAAGATCCCCATTCATTTCTTCCATTTTAACTTACAATTATGTTGGTGTATAATGAATATATTCTTGACCTTACTCAACAAGAACCTGTAACAAGAAATTAACTCATTTCTTTTATGCCTTGAGAGATGATTCAGAAGAGAGTTAACTTAATACACATTTGACACTCAAAAGTGTATTACATAATCTGTGTTTGTCACTACACAAAGGCAATTTACATATTCAATACATTATGTACACACTCAAAGATATTTATTTAAACATTCACAAGGTGTGTAGCTATTCTTAAATTAACTAATTCTTAAACAGCCACATTACAAAAAACAGTAAATAAAACATTGTCTTCTTAATTTCCCACCATTCCTATAGATGTAATCATCCACAAAATCTTAAAATTATATGCCTAGTAACATTGATTCTCTTAAGAATGACATTAACAACACTTCTGATTGAAATTCAGAAGACAAGGCAGGCATGACACAATGACAAAGTCTGTGGTTAAAAGTGTATAGTAATATTGTGGTATATAGTAATATTTTTTTCAAAATATAGAGATTTAGGGATTAAAAAAATCAATTAAGAAATCCTTCTTCTTTCAACAAGTTTGGGTGTGGTTATTGAATGATGGGCTGTGGCATCCTCTAAGATCACCTTAGGTAGGCACATACAACTATTAATAATTTTCATGATACTGCAGTGTAATAATAGTAATCATGGTCAGGTCAGGAGGCAGATTTCAATAAATAAAAAATAACTAATTCGTAACAATTGTACCATAACTTTAGTGATCTGGTTAGCTAATGTTGAATATAAAGTGCACAATATACAGTGGTGTTCACATTAAATTAATTAGTAAACCATATGTTTTATACACTTAACATTCAATCAATTCATGAAAGAACAACTGAACCATTGTCACATTTCAGTACATTCTTACAATGACAACTATTACAAGATTTAAAGTAATTGATATTCATATTAGATTGGTAGAAAAAATTAGAATGAAGTACCCATGCACAAAGCAGTGGTACTCTAGCCACATAGTATAAAATAAATTCAATGTGAAAGAACTGAAATTATTTCCAATTATGTAATGTTAAATTCAATAATTATTTTGTATACAAAATGATTGAGTATAATAAAATTGTACAAAGTAGTTCTTTTCTTTGGTAAATTAGAAATGATAAATTTCAAAATAGCTATTCTTCGTGCGGATTATTTTTGAAACAATGACATCTTGACAACAGACGAAAAATCAATACTGACAAAGGATCAAATTCACGAGTAAATGCACACTCAATACTATGCTGATGGTAATTGAAAATGGAAAATATAAATTTGCCGCCGACTTGAACCTGATAGGCGAGGCTAGAAATTATGAATATTTAAACTCCTTTCGATATCATCGCGTAACGAAAAGGACCTTCGTAAGAAAATTATAAAATACAGCAAACATATCACAATTTCATAGGTGACAAATACTATAAAATATATAAAATAATTCGTCAAAATGGCTCCATACACTACATAAGTACGTACCTATCGCACAATAAACGCAATGCACCATGCAGACAATGGCGAAGGTCGATAATCCGTATTAACACGTTTTTTGCCAAATATGGCAGAAAAATCCCATAGGTTAATTATTTCGATAATTAATTATAATTATAAATGATTTACTAACCTTTAACAGTTTATAATTTGAAGGAAAAGCTGATAATCTACGCGCAGAAAGTTCTACCACGCCGTAACTATGAGAATACTCATCACTTTGTAAATAAATAAAAAATGAGCATCAAGTCTCAACAGATATTTTTTTTAAATAAAAGTGGTTTCTTCGATGAATTAAATTAATGTTTTGTCACGTTCTCATTTTAAAAAGGCGAATACATCACGGTGTATTGATTTTCTGCGTAGTTGGTTGCGCTGTCTGTGGCTTAGGTATTGCCAGTAGCCAACGACTTTCAGTATCGGTTTTTTGGAAAAGGAACGAATGAAATGAATTATTATTTAATTATAATCACCTCCCTTACCTTCCTTGGACGCCTTGGACTATAACAAAGGCAAAACTTATTTTTATTGCTTCGTAAATGCTTCACGTCTAACGCATTCGCCACTTGTACCTTATGGCTTTGATTAAATTCTCAATAATTTTTAAACTGTAGATAAAAGGTTTTCATAGTAAATACTCAGTAAACTACTCAGTATTTAACCATTTTTAGTCAAGGACTAATTTAAGAAGTGTGAGATATATAATGACGGACATTGTCACGCGATAGATGTCCTTTGGGTCAATGTGTGTATGTTCTGCTTCTGCATGTAAGTCTATAGTATTCTTTAGGAGCTACAGTTGTTTTAAGAACTATGTCAGCCGTATTTCCACTTCCTTGTTTTTAGTATTTTCTGAAATCGCCTATTGGTACGCGACGATGGCAAGAGACCCGACGGTATGTCATTATTCCCTTGGAAGATGGGTAGGCCTTAGGATACTCTGGCGCCATCCCATCTTCGAAGCTCAGCGTGTCGAGCCGGTGCTGCCGGTGCTGCTGCTGAGAACCTCAAACGGCGAAAGTATAATAGCCTGATTGGCAATTATGCTTTCGAACTGTTTGAGGTTGATACTTTAGGGCCGTGGGGCCCGTGTGCACATCTTCTTTACAAAGATATTGTAAGGAGGATGATTGACAATTCAGGTGATGGAAGCGCTGGCTACTACCTTGGGCAAAGGTTAATCATTGCACCTTAACTGGACTGGCTACTACCTTGGGCACCCTACCTCACTATAGCGATGAGGAAATATTTAATTAGTGATTTAATTCCATATACTTTATTTACTCCAAGTATTTCATTTAGGAAATTATATTCTAGTGCACTATAGGGATTTGTCATGGACCCATGTCCATGACAAATCCATCATCCATATGTATAATATACATCTATTATACATTTGAATTTGTAGATACATCCCTATGACACGTGTGTTTATGTTATGTCAATTTGACTGATGACATGACAATAGCCAGCAGATTGCGAAACGTCAAAATAGCTGAAGATTAAAAAGTGTATAGTGGATATTTTCATGCTGTTTTTCTGAAAACAAGAAAGAAAGCTTTAATTCTTTAATTAGCTGAAGAATTGATATTGATACCTATTTGATAATTAATCTATCATAAAACAAATCACAAACACAATGACGTTCATACCAAATTGGGAAGAGTTTGAAAAGTCTGCGGAGATGTTATATTTAAGAGATCCTTTAAACACTCGTTATACTATTAAGTATTCCCATACGAAAGGTGTATTCGTAGTTAAAATTACAGACAATAAAAAGGTAACTTTTCACATTATTAGTTTTTTCAGTATCATCATTATTTTTATCATTCATCCAGTCTGTCATATAAAACCCACATTGAGCTCTGCATGACTTAAAAGAACCAAGTAAATACTTTATTATTTAACTAGTTTTGGTAAATCACAATTTGAATTATGTCACAACTTTTGTTTACAGTGTCTTCAATATAAAACTGAGGTTCAACAGGATGTTAGAAAAATTGATAAGTTCATATCAAATCTTATAAGGCATATGGCATCAAATGATACTAATATGGTAATATTGTAAATTAAGTTAATAAATATATTCTTTGTAAGGACATATTTTACTTTCCTTTATACAATATCTCATGAGTTGGACCCTTTTATTTCATTTTATGTTTTAAATAAGGTAATTCCTAATGTCACCATAATTATGAAGAATAGTAATAAAATGAAAGTCTGTTTAGGTGATGACAATAATTTTGTTATGTATGGATTAGCAACATTTTGTTCCCATAAATTATGCTGATGTTATTTACTAATAATTTAATTTCAGTTGGTTATAAATAAAGGATGTTTATTTTGAAAGCCCTGCAATTTTAATTTTTATATGTGTGGGACCAATTATATTTGAGCCTGTCATTTAGTTTTTTTTAAGTTTGATGCTATATTGTTGTAGCATTGTTCTCAAATATATACACAATAAAGTAAGGTTCCTATAAATGTATTTGTGAGGTTGTAAAAAAATAATTTCTTTTAAAAGAGTAATGATGGAGATTGTAATTCATTCCTCTCCATATGACACTCCACAGTGGAACAAGCATCTAGCTTCACTAACAATACAGATGGGGCCCAGTAGGGCTAATGCCCTATACGGAGCTGTAGGAGACCTAATGGGTGTCCGGGGCTTCGGCTCGAAGAGCATGAGTAAATAAATTGCTAGAATATTCAAGACTCCATGAGATCATACTAGGTATATAACACAGCTTGGTTTCTTTCAACAACAGAGGTAAGTATATAAGAATCGTAGTAATTGGCATTTCATAGTCTGCCTACCCCCATGGGAGACAAGCGTGAGGTTATGTATGTATGTATGTATGTAGGTTTCTCCCATGATGTACGAAAACCTCCCTCCCTCCCTTCCCCCTCTTCCCAACCTCCAGTTGCACCTTATTACTTTCTTATTTTTATTTCAATAAAGAATATGGTCTGGCATATAATATCCTGCAGTTAACTAAAAATCGCGCCTTAAGTACTCGTGTGAAGCTCTACTAGGTTCGAGCCACCGGGCCAGTAGGGTTAGCGACATCGCCGTGTCCACGCACGTTGCTCATAGTCATGAGGAAGAGCCTGTGGCTCGAAACTAGTAGAGCTTTTTTTAGTATATTTACATGAGTAACCCGCGATTTTCAGTTAATTTAGTATGTCTCAAAATTGTTATTTTTACATACTAGCTTTTACCCGCGGCTTCGCTCGCGTCACAAAAGGATAAAAGTAGCCTATGTGACATATACCAATACACACAGCGCCATCTATACCAATACTTTTGTTTTCCCTCGAGAATATCTTTTTCCGGGTTAAAAAGTACCCTATTATTTAATCCAGACTTCTAACTTTACATCTGCAAAATTTCAAAGCAATCGGTTCAGTAGTTACGTCGTGAAGGCGGAACAAACAAACAAACAAACTCACTTTCCGATTTAAAATATAAGTAAGGAAAGTAAGGAATAAGTAGGTAAGGATACCCAATAAAATCGTAGAAAATAAAAACTGTGCATTGAACATTTTTTTAAAAGAATACTTGAGGCGTGATCTACAATCGATACCGAAGCCAAAAATAGGGTTTTTAGAATTTTTGTCTGTATGTATGTCCGGGATGATCTCCAAAAGTACTGCATGGATTTACTTTGAATTTTGCATGAATATTACTAACAGGTGGGGTCAATATATAGGCTACATATTATCACGCTATCACCTACGGGGGAGGAGCTGTGAATCACAATTCCACGGGAATGAAGTCGCGGGCAACAGCTAGTGTATAATAAGTATGATTAGTTGCGCTTGCTGAAGCGTAGTCGTAGGTTGCTGTTGAAGAAGCGTAGACTGTATTGGAAATTTGCAGCCTTTAATAGCGTACCCTATGCGTACCTACCTAGCAAAAATAAGGTAGATATCGGAATAATTACCTACGTAATAATCTCCATTTTAGTCGATAAGTCTACTTGTGCGGACGGCGCGTCGCGTTCCACCCGCGCTTCAAAGAGCCATCAAATCACCATAGATGGGGACTAGCAGGGCTGATCCAACGGGTTACCGGGGTTACGGTTTGAAGAGCAGGAGTAGAAACAGGGTGGTTTTTTATTCAGAGTCAGACACACCTTCTCCTAACCCAAAGCGGGAAGAAGTAGGATCAGGAATCATTGGATGATTTTCCCCCTTAAAAAAAGTCAATAAGTCTTTCAAAATTCACTTAGCGGACTTTATTCAAAAATATATTCGTAAGGAAAGTAGTAGATTCCTTGAGTTTTGGTAGGCACATAACATAGGTATATCCTTATCCTTACTTCCTTATCTTTACTAATATTATAAGAAAGTGAGTTTGTTTGTTTGTTCCGCTTTCACGCCGTAACTACTAAACCGATTGCTTTGAATTTTTGCAAACGTAAAGTTCGAAATCCGGATTAAATAATATGGTACTTTATATCCCGGAAAAATTGATATTCCCGAGGAAAAACAAAAGTATTGGTATAGATGGCGCTGTGTGTATTGGTATATGTCACATAGGCTACTTTTTATCCTTTTGTGCCGCGAGCGAAGGCGCGGGTAAAAGCTAGTATAAATATAAAAATTAATCCTTTTTTCCCTTGGTCATGGCATCACGCGTGAATGGCTGGACTGATTTGACTAATTCTTTTTTGTTGTATTTGTTATTATTAGAGACAGAAAAAATCTTGAAAATCCTACAGGAACGGGAGAAAACGAGATTACGCGTACGAAGTCGCGGGCAAAAGCTAGTAACATTTTAATTATTTACACCTCTTCTGGGCCCCGTAAACAGACAAATGGAAGGTATAGTATAATATTCTTTAGATATTTTATATATTATATTATACAATCTGTATTGTTCTGTTTGTAAGGATTTTATTTTATTGTGGAATTTTATATTTGTACGGAGTTTTATTTTGCTATAGTTATAATAGAAGGCTGAATAAATTGCGTATTGGTGCCTTTTTTCCCATTTTGATACAAAGGCTTTAAGGTAAACACGAATAATTTATTTGAGTTTCTGTTCTTAAAACGGGATATTATCGCACTTTATTAGCACAAAAACTTATATTGCTTAGAATATTACCTATATCGTACGCCTTGAAGCTTTTTGAAATAAAAAAGACTATCCTAAAATTATTTTTGATTCTCATTGATTTAAAAAACTCTATGATCGTCTCTACATTATCTACAACAAGCAATGTCAAAAATTGTTGATGGACATTGGACATGTTATTTTACTGTCATGCAGTGTGAAACATAAATAAAGCATATTAGTTTTTGTAAAAATCATGACTTAATACTCAGGCCTAAACTGTTAATATGAAATAATAAATTTAATAAAATAACTGCCACTTACATATTTGTTTTAATAAATGACATTATGGATGGTTTAATTCACGCGGCATTGGAAGCTGAGGTATTTCATTGCTTTCTTCTATTTATTACCCGAGCTTTACTTATCTAACCGTCCTCGTTATCAGATTTGTTTATAATCAAAAATGAATATTTCAGGTAATACTAAACCGGGCGAAACATGTGAACTCAAACTTGTCCCAATATAACAGTGGTGTCCCAGACCACAAAATGACTTGGACCCATGATAAGATGCACCTTGCTGAATCTGTTGATGAATCTAGAATGAAATTTCAACGTAATTCGTCCGGCTCTGCTTCCAAAGCTACAGAGAAGTTTGATTTATTTAAAAAACTTCATGAACTTTACAACGAGTTAAGTAGAGATGAAACGTTACAGGTGAACTATGTAAGTACAGGAGCACTCTATTTAGCTTCATGTTCATGTCTTCTAATTATGTTGTATGGTTATTTGTGTTTTATTTCAGGTTTATGACTGTAGAAATGGCCTAAACTTGATATTTGTAATGTAACTCTAAACCTTACGGTGTTCAGTAAATACTGTTTAATATTGGATTATAGGCTCAACCTTTGGATGGTTTTCATTTATTTTTTTCTTATTACTTAATAAGAATGTGAATATGATTTTAGTGGTCTAAATGATTGTGATGTATTGTACACCATAACACAACTAGTATCATACATAAGTATACCAGAAATTGTAAATTTGTAAAGCCAATGATCTGCCTAATTAGCACAACAATATTATTGCCACTTCTTAAATCCCATAAAACATAAATACTCAATGAGGCAGTACCATGAGTAATTCAGTTTATATTTTTTTCCACCTTACAGCAAGGCCTGAAAACCACATCATATCTATTGGAGAAGTTATTAGCAATATATAATCTTAATACATTAATAATAAATCTGTATCCAGGCAATAAGGGATATTCTTTATCATTAAAAGTAAATGGCAACTCACAACATTTACATCCACCGGATGGGCATGTAAGTAGATTTTATAATTAATAAAAGAGTATTAATTAGCTCTTATAAACTCCTTGTTATAATAAACACAGACAGTCATAATATATAATGTTGATAAATCCTTTAAATTCTGATAAAATCGAAGCTGCTATAAGTGAACTAAGCATTGCCTGTATTTTAGTTACAACACTAGAATAGCACTACCTTTTACCCTAGCCCATGAAATATGCCACTTCTTCATTTAAATAAAAATGGTACTGTATATACTATTCTCACTGGAATACTATATTTCTAGTCATCATCAAATCAAGAAGAGACTTTGATAGAGACTCCCCGCTGGCCATATGAGGAAGAAGAATTATTGAGTTACATTGACAATGAAGAACTGCCTGTAGTGTTGTTAGACCTTTTGGAGACTGAGCACTCATGCCTGTTTTATTCTGGATGTATAATAGCACAGATCAGAGACTATAGACAGGCATATCCAAGTTTTCTCTGCGATACTCATCATGTACTCCTAAGGCCCACTAATCAGGTATGTATTTTATTGGTTAACTAGCGACCCGCCCTGGCTTCACACGGATGCAATATGCATGTATTATATATATAAACCTTCCTTAATAATTCACACAACACTCTATCTATTAAAAAAACTGCATCAAAATCCATTGCATAGTTTTAAAGATCTAAGCATACA